CAGGTCGTCTACTGGAATGGTTTGTGGTCCCTGAGTCCATATCTTCCCTCTATACTATTAAATAATAGGAACATTGTATGAAACCTGTGTATGAGTATTCTGTTTATTACCAATACTACTGGTCTCAGGACGAGTTGGAATGAATGGGTCTAGCATAACTATTAGGAGCTCTGGGTTCTGAACTAGTGGTGAGTTTAGAGGCGCTACTCTCAGTAAGGGATCAACCATTTTAATTTGACTAATAATAGTGTTTGTTTTTCATTTTAAAAGCAAGTTCTAGAATGATTAAAAAGTCTACTAGTTCTATGTAGAGAAGAGAATTTGGGAGGTAATTTTATACTCATTAAAGACAAAACTTTATGGGAAGTTTGAATTGTATGGCACTTAGGTTTCTAATCAAAGGCTAAACCATTCTGAAAATCTTTCATGCTTCTATCTAGTTTATTTTAATTCTTAATTGATAAGAAACATTATATTTAAGAACCTGACACCATTTTGAACAGAGGATAGAAGTCTGAAACTTCTCTAAAGATTTTCACATTTTACACTTGCCAATGTATAACAATTTCTATAAGGATGCAGTTCAAAGCACAGAACATTGTAAAATAATAACTGCACAACAGTTTGTAAGAGCATTAGTTTATTCTCTAATTTTCATGTGTTACTTGAGAAACAATTTACTTATATACAAAAAATTGGAATGTAGAATAAATGCTGATCATTAAAACATTACATTGCTGTTGCCAAGAAAGATTTCATGAAAAATAAAACTGCACAGCATACCTAACCAAGAAAGCTGGGCTTGAGTTTTGTCTTTGCGTTATTGCTATGTTTTGCAAATCCATAGAAGGCCTTAAAAGTATGTACATTTTTTTTTTTAACACAAGTCAGGAAACAAAAATAAAAACATAACAGGCTATTTACATAATAAATAGTGAGAGATTTGCAGTTCAATTTCGTTGACCTTAGATTACAAGACAATGATGGTGTGTGATGTGCATTGGATGCATATATAGTTCAACAATGAGCATCTCTGCATAGTTGGGGTTTACACAAATGAGGCCCGAGGCCTTATTACCCATAATACACTGTACACAAAGTTACAGTATTAAACCGTACACACACACACCACACTGTGCATTTCATGATACCTCTGGCTCCACTGGAAGAGAGCCTAATTAAATATGCAGTTCATCTTTTGTTAAAAAATATCTTTCCATAAAACTTTTGCTTAATATCCATAAGGTGCGTGAATCCTTCTGATACCTGGGAAACAAAGTTAACCAATGAGCAAAAAAAGCAGTATACAGCAAGTGTGAAATGACATTTTCAAGAAGAACTGGGTACAACAGAAGGTAACGGTAGCCATACTTGAGGCCCTGGCCAGTTTATCCTCAGAAGACTCTTCCCTGCTTAATGAACCTCCTACACATAATGAATCTTGGCATTTGTATATGGGCACAAATGCGGTATAATAAACACCCATCCAGTTCTTGTAGAGAGAAAAAAACATAGCAGTATTTCATTTTGAATACTAAAGTAACCAAGCCATTACTCTTACTATCCCATCTGATAATAACTGTGTATAGAGGCTGGTAATTATTTATTGCTCCTTCTCTCATATCATAGCTCTATAGCATTACATACATAGCAACTGTGAGAACTCTGTGTAAAAAACAACTTTAGTTTCCTAAATCCCTCCTTACTCCATTGTCTGGAATTATTTATTTATTAAGCAAATTTAAAAAAAAAGGGTTTCAGGTAATGAAGAAAGGAATTCGGATGCCTCTCCATCCAGACATACACTATGAATGGACTTTACCTTAAAAAGTCTGGGTTCCAGTCTGAGTTTTCACAGCTGCTATGTAGAGGGGGCACATACAAACAGAGAAAAGCGGGCCGCACGATGGATTTGGCTGGGATCGTTTATTGAATCTTGTACCACTTCACTGGCATCCTGCAAAGGTCCACTCCCACCCAATAAACTATCCCAGTGGAATCCGATGTGCAGCCAGCTTTTCTTCTGTTTGTATGGGCTCATATTGGAGCGAGGACATGCTCCCAGCAGCAAGCACCTGGCTCATTCCTTTCATGAGCCGTGGCGGAGTGATGCTTCTTTTGTGTGTTCTCTTTGTTAGCTAGGGGGGATCACAGAAGAGCTATGAGAGGGGAGAGGGAGAAAGAGAGCTTACAATAGCCTCTATGAACAGCTACCTTTAGATGGAGTATGGAATGGATGACTAACACCTAAATGGCTGGAAAGCTATTACATAAGACTGCAACTGCAATGGAAGCAGACATTACAGCCCATGCTGAGGTTAGAGTGAAGCAAAGCCAACTCTATACACCTCTGATAATAAAAATAGATTTCCAGCATATCAGATGGCTGGGAGTGCTCGGCACTTCAGAAATACATGCCAAATCCTCCTTTCTTGCACTTGTCTGTGCAAGCTCTTACTCTGTTCCACCAAGGGAGGATAAAGGGATCTGAAGGAAATTGTCCTGGGCAGCTTGCCTGTGTGACTCCAGTCTCTTAAAGCAGAGCTGTATTTAGATAGCATGCTGCTCTAGGCGCTCAAGAACCCTTTTGTACCGTCTCCACCCCATTGGCTATAAGATTTATTTTTCACAAACTAAAACATGAACACACGATTTGAGGCAGCAGACCACCAAACAGAAGATAGGGGAAATGGAACTGAGAGTCTTGGGTTGCCTCTGAACAGCCCCATTACCCCTACACTTCTGTTTAATGACTGAACAAGGTAAAAGTACAAGATAAGCAAAACTTGTAAATCTGGCGACTTGAGGCTGTCTGCCTGTTAACCTAGACAAAGTCCCACAAGTGCCTTATGGTACATATTGCTCCTGATGTGCTCTACTGTGATAGCTTGTACACAGGGAGATTACCGCACCAGAAAAACCTGTGTCATGTGATACTTTCACTCACTGCATGGCCTGTTTGATAATTCAAAGACGGGTTTAAACAGCACCTAAGACTGTAAATGTGCTACCAACCTATTGCAAATGTAAGACACCACCGTTACAGCATAGCCACCATTAGAGACATCTCAAGCTCCACTGCAACGGTCAACTGTATTTTTAGTATGTCAGTCTATTGCAAATGTACAGTATTTCTACAAGGAATTAAAATCCATTAGTAGGCATAGTCGTTTGGATTTACAACCACACCAAAAACTGTTGAAGTGAATGAATTGTGCTCTCACACAGTGACGTACAATGGTATAGGCTGTTAACCATTACACACTGATGCAATAAAAAAAATGTTAAAATGATAACGGGGGAGTCTAGACTCTCCGCCATATGAAATGTTTATGCCATGTAAAACAACAAATAAAAACATGTTCCCCTCTTTAGTTAATTGCTTAAAAATATTATGAAATCTTGAAAGTCTGTATTACCTATTTGCTCATGTTTAAACACATTCAACATGTACATTGTAACAAAATACAGCAACATTTCTGTGGTTATATTCCAAAATATTTGATTCTTATGTAAAGATAACAAAATCAATAAGAATGAGTATAGAAAAAAAGTGTAATTACCTATTTAGAACAGATTCCTGAACTGGTTCCTTTCCAGTCTTATTTATACTGACTGGGTTCAGATGGAAGCAACCACTTGTGTCTCGGTACTAACTCCATGCTCGTCAACTGATTGGTCAGTCTATGCAATGGCCAGCTGACTCCATTGAGAGGAGATGATTTGTACACTAGGACGTGGTTTATTTCTGTACAGTGAAGCCTTATATTACATAGGGGAACACATACGACATAGTACTCAAGTGCAATATCACCTTTGACCCATGAACACATAAAACGTATCGCTCTTGCATTGCTAAAACTTCTCAATCAGCGTTGGTAATTGCTTTTATCTGCTACTCAATCAATAATTATAGCCTTTATTTTAACTGATAAAATGGACACCCCAGGGCTGTATTAGTGACCCACATATATCTAAAGTTACACAAAGTGAGAATATTGATCCAATCAAAACAAAACCAAGAAACAGCCCTAAAATAAACAGTTATTGGTCATTTATGGCACTTATCCCTGGTCGTTATGAACCATGCATTAAGAAGCACTGCAATCCCTACCCATTTATACCAGAGACACAAAAATAGACATGGATGATGTTCCTTTGTGAAAGATAAAATAAGAAAAAACCCCACATATTTACATTAACAAGGAACAAAGGCAGCTTGTGGTAAATCACTAAAACAGTATATAGTTATAGAAAGCCTTTAATGAGTCTAGTTCATATAAGTTCACATTTCAATGTTCCCTGCTGTAGAAAGAGCCCTTCAATCGCTGCCACTAAATAAAAACCAACAGGTCCATGGGACCCTTCCTAAACCCTGCAGCTATTCTCAATCATCCTTCTGTCACGTTTTTACACACGTACTTTGGTTACCTAGCACCAATCACAAGACATTTAGCAAGGCAAGAGGCCACTCTGTCCCATGTGATAGAGAAATGATAGAGGTGTCATATCAGCTTGTGTGGTGGTTGAAATCACAGACGGCTTTGCTTCACAAACCATCATGCAAGCTGCTGGTAGCTAGCTACCTACATCACAGACTTGGCACTTCAGTGTATGGGACAGTGGAGAAACTCAATCCAGAAAAGAAAAAAAAAAGCTGTGGATTTCAAGAAGAATCCGTTAAGGTCGTTAACTTTGGATATATAAATTTAAAACCAAACGCTCTCAGGCACCACGCACATAGGTTTGCATGCGTAGGCACAATCTGACTTCATTTTTGTAGTACCGCCCAGGCCTAGCATAAAGCATCTTTTATGGTACATGAGAACAGATTGGGAAAATATGTAAACACATGTCCCATTACATAATCTTTGTTTCTATTTAAAAAAGAAAACTGTGACAATAAAAATGTGCTTCACACATGCAGAAGAGCTTGTTTTTTTATACAGAACTTCTAAATAAAAAAAAATGCCACTGGTGCCCAAAATTAAAAAAAAATATCCTTCTAATGAGACCCTATATTCTAAATAAAAACCACTTATATCGGACATGGCCCTGGATACCAGATAGGACAGGAGGCCACATTACCCAGCCAACCAAAAAAAAAGTGCCACTTTGCTGTATCGCCTGCCAAAACTCTATACACATAGCAAAGCCAACATGGCTCAGTCTGCCTCGAGATAAGTGGTTGTGGATTTTTAAAATGTATTAAAAAAAATAAAAATGATACCAGGTGTGAAGAGAGAAAGGCATACATGTAGCTACATTACTTATAGCTACAGTAGAGACGGTTCTGACCTCCGCCCCCTTGCTCGCTACAATTTAGGCTCATTTTGTAAAATCTTACAGAGTTTAGTAACACGCTTTGTCCAAAAATAAACCTACATTCTGTACAAAAACAACACAGGTTTGTTCTTGTAGGCAAAACTACTCAAACATTCACACCGGAGCAGCAAGGCCTTTGGAACCCGGCTGCGTTATCTGCAGTGGTTTACTCCCCTAAACCACATATTTTTCACAACATTTCTGTACAAATAGTTTTTCTTGAATATCAAAATTCCAAGTGCATGGTTTTCTAAGTTGCTTTTTCTTATATACATAGAAAAATATACTAATTAAGTCTCTTGACACATTGCTGGCTTTCAGTTCATTGCCTTTGCGGTTTACACGGCTCCATCCCGTAAAATGATCATCTCTACGGCGCTCTGAAACTTCTTCAACAAAGACACCGCCTGCCCATGGTCGATATTCAGGAAACTGTACCCATTTGCCTGAGAAGAGGAAGGAACTTTTGTTATACACTTTGGATGCACCGATAGCAAGTACCGTACTCGGTACAAGTACAGATACATTTCGAGCTCAAAGACTAGACTAGAGAAGAATTCAAAAGTTAGGAGGCAGCTGTCATTTGTAAGGAGCACACAGAGCTCCTGGGATTTGTACATCTCTGTTTTAATGTATGATTTGTTTTTATAAACATATATTAGGGATGCACCGATACCAGTTTTGCAAGTACAAGTACTGATACTTGCCCAAGTACTCACAGATACAAGTACAGATACATTTTTGTTTAGTGTCATGTGACAGTTTTTCTAAAACAATACAGACTAATGATTTCAGGACAGTGGTGGAGCGCCAGAGCCAGGTCCCAGCTGCAACCCTGGTAGTTCTCCTGACAATGCCAAGTATCGGCACTGGTATCTGAAAAGTATCGGTGCATCCCTATTATACACAAGACAGAATTAACAGATTGTTTACACGCTTTCTCACTTAGTAAACTCTTCCTCTTTTAAAGCTGAACTTCAGGCAAAAAAACTAAATACGCAGATGAAATTCATATATGGGAGATATTTTACAGCACAGCCAGGTGGATGATGCCAATCCCAGTTTAGGAATACAGTGGTGTCCTCTCTTCCCTCAGCCTATGACTGGATAGTTTCAGAACCAGCAGACTGATGAGCTCCTCTCCCTGTCACTCTTCTTTCTCCTCCTATTAGCATGTCCCTTGCTGCCACATGAGCACTGCACAACTGACCGTCTCCTTGTGCCACTTCTCCCTCTCGCGGTCTGAGTTCTGCTATACAGGGGGTTTTAATCCCCCAGGGGACCAGGTGCATGTGGCAATTGGTTCCATTCAAATCAGTGCTGCCATTGGCAAGACAGACAGTTACCTACTGCAGTGTGACCATGCTGCTAACAAAGACAGATTTTTTGAGAGACAGCGATGTTCTCTGGCAGCAGGGGATGCTCTGGAGACTGGGGCTGCCATTCACAACGGATCACATTTTTAGTCCCATGTAGAAATATAAGAACATGCTATTCTAAAATTATCATAGTGAAGTTAAAATAGACCTGAACTGAGATTATGTTGCAAGGCAAACAAAGTTGAAATCAGATTGGAGCTAAGATAAGAACGTCATCACAACTGTGCTCACAATAAAAGCAAATAGCAATAAATTTAAATTACGTGATAATTTTAAAGGAATCCTATTGCAATAAAAAAATGAATGCACACATTTCTATATGCAATTCATAATCCTGTATTAAAAAAAACATTTTGATATCCAAACTCAGTCGGAATTGCTCAGTAAGAAAAAGAGAAGTAAGCAAACTACAGCACTTCAAGGAAACTAATTGAAATACATATTTTGCAGACCTAAGGAAAGGTTAGAACCTCTGTCAGGGATTTATTACTGTCTGAGAGCCTTGCTAGGGAGACTTTGTGTCACTTCCTGTTCTGGTGCAAACAGTCACCTGGACAGAAGTTAGGGCAAAATCTCCGACAGGAACGCATACGCCAATATAAAGCTGATGGGCATTTTAGTCTTCCTCAAATACTTGAATGCCATTGCAGAGTGCCATGGCAGATACATGTGGTTTAAGGAGCTCATAGTTACCTGTATTATCTTGTCTCCAGGCTGTAAAAGTTTAGATGCCGGTCCTTCAGATTGTACTCTTGTAACATATATGCCCTGCAAAGAGTGTAGAAGGAACCATTGATCAAAATGACTATGACAGTATTATCTATAGACCTGATTGATCATCAGACTACAATGCGTCCTGTGACATTAGAATTATTTTACTACTTTTTATAAATAAAAACAAAAAAAATATATTCTCTAATTAGGGCTAGAGTTATAAAATATTGGTGGTACCATCTGCATGACAAGAGATACAGCAGAGCAAAATACTTACATCATCTCCTGGTCTGAAGGGATTTCCTCTCCCGCCAACACCTCCTGATATACTAAAGCCCAATTCAGGATCCTTCACTAGTCGTATCCGTACCTAAAATGTAAACACAAGCATGTAACTGGAGGCTTGGCTTGTTACATTCTATTCAAACTGCAGGGCCACATGTGATATTCATCCACAAAAGTCTCAAGCGTGCTAGCAGTAAGGACTCTACACTCAAAAAGGCCACGAATGCATGGAAAAACTTGGAACATACATGGAACAGCCAGCTGCCTACAAACCTTGGCCTGTCCAGCTGATCATATCAGAAACAAGTCATGCTTGTTTGATAATATGTACTTTAGGAGCAGTGGTTCTTGATTTTAATACTAGGATGTAATGAAAAGCAGCATTGTTACCCATAAACCATACAACCGATAACACCAACTTATTTTATAAACTGCAATGGAAAAAGGATGGCTAGAATCATTCATACCATCTGTTTCTCGTATGTTGCTTTATTTTTGAAGCCAACCTTTTGTCATGTTATGAACAATCAAATATTTACATGCCCAACCAGATGGAAATGAGCTATTATTAAAACAAGTCTTCACTGTTCTCTGTAGCTGCAGGCACTGTAAAGCAATTCATCTTTAAAGCTCACAGCAGAAGCATTGATGTTCAGCTTCCCCTCTCCCAGAAGTGATTCAGCAGTCTTCCAATGACTAAGGGACACAAAAGCAGACACGCTGGGAACACAAAGAAGGTACAGTGAGAGGGCACTGTAGGATTAACTGACTTACCAAAAGAGCATGAACAACTTTGATGCTTCTGCTGTAAACTTTGGAGGATGATTTGGTCTACAGGTCTACAGTGCCTGCAGCTACAGAGGTCAGCAAGGGCTTGTCTGAAAGTTTATTTACTAGTTGTTAATATGTGAATGTCTGTAGCCTGGGTATAGGGTGTGTGTGTGTGTGTGTGTGTGTGTGTGTGTGTGTGTGT